CCCCCCACAATAAATTTGCTGGGAAACTTCTGATTCCCATATCGCCAAAAAAAAAAACGCCATGTACTTTTATTTTTTAAAATTGGTCGTCACGGGTTTGATAAAGTGCACCATTCCACCATAACTGAGAGTTATATCATTTGAATAGAACACGAGCAACGTAAGAGGACATTGTATTGTAGATAATACACGAATTAGACTAACAATACATTGCTGGTTTATGTCAGCAAATCTGATCTACTCCCTTGGAAGTTAACTATAACACTTGTTGCATCTGTTTACTATATACAAGGATTACACGATTATATACAAAGAATACATGGATAAAGAAATAGATTTATCGCTATTTTCTGAATAAATAGATTTTCACTATTTTATGCCTTTCAAAAGTTCTGGTTTGATTTGACAAAGAACGCATCAATTGGTACATATTTGCTAGCAGTTGGAGATGATTTCTGTTTCTTTTTCTGCCGACCGCTGCTTCCAGTATGGCCTTTTTGGGCAGCCCTAACAAGAATTCAAAAGAAATGAGACGACACAGCCAATACCGAGAAGTGAAAGGCAAAACAAAAGGAAAAGAAATATACTCGAAACAATCGCGCTTAGCAGGATGGGGAAATAAATTCTTGTATCATAAACATCATGAAGTAGAAGGTACCTCTGTTGTCGCACGAAACTCCTGTGGTTGTTACCTGATTCTTCACCTTGCAGCCTTTCAGCAAGATGAAAATCAGAATGTTCTTGCCTTTCTTCAGTGAAACTTGGAGGCAGCTCAATACTACAAATAGAGCATTTGTAGTCATCCACCCAAACAAAGAATTGCTTCTGATCTGATATAGACCCTGCTTCATCAGCCACACAGCTAAAACCATTTTTCCAACTATCCCGGTGGCATGCCTCCAATTGACCTGTGTAAGAGTCGATCTTCTCAGACTTCATTTTATGATCAGTATTTGTTGGTTCATGAACCTGAATTCAAACACATGTTGAAAATTAAAAATCACACTATTTGAATCACAACTTTTTCTTTGGTGATATATGTATGCCTTAGCTCTTTAGGGGGGAAAGTATACCTTAGCTCCAGGTTCACTACTTTGAGGTACAACAGTTCCATTCAATTCTTCATTAATGTTCCCTAATATCCTGCAACTGAAAGTAGAATCTGATGTCTGGTTCTCCATTGACGAGTCACGCAGATCACAAGATGTCTCAGCAGAGTAGGTAGGACAACAATTCAAATTAACTGAGAAAGTATTATCACAAACATCAAAAACCAAGGGCCTGTAATCACTCATCTTTCCTCCAGAAGCATCTCCGGAAAGAATGAAATCAGAAAGGGTTTTTTGAGTAGGATCAGCTGGAATGCCATTTTTGTCGTCACTGAAATGAGACATACGAAGTCCTGATGGAAAAGTTCAATTGCTTAGTCAAAATGCCTCATGCTGGAAATTTGCAGTCAAATAACACAACATTCTAGAGTGACAACTGAACATGTCATTTCTAGCTCAGGGAAGAGAGAACAATTTAAATGGAGTTGGCTTCTGTTTTGGGCTTTTTGTTTCCCCAGAGCATACTCATAAATGGATGGTTTAACCAATAACTGCAATTAAAAGTTATAGAAACATGGCAACCGGCAAGTGAGTGGGGCAGCATCTAAAAATTGTTTGATAAAGTCTGATGAATAAAGAGGCAAATCACAAAATAACAATACCCCTCTACAGTTGTAAAAAGGGTTAAAATCAATCCCTTCCTATAAATCAAAATAAGACCAATAAAACAGCAAATCCAAATAACCTAAGGAATCAAAAAAATCTATGAGACTGTTCTCTATAATTGCTTCTTTTGCTCCACCTCATAATCTCATCCTTCTTCACCATGGGAAATTATGGGTTTCAAATGTGTATTCATTAGCAGCCCTAACCTCCCCTTTAATCTGATAGTAGAGTTTCAAAAAGTTTTGGAGAGAGAGATTTTGCAAACTGCAAGCTACACAATGCTACCGATTTTCAATTGATATCGTGTATTGAAGATTTTAACACTTTGTTTTCAACATCCTCGCTCCTTCTCCATATGCAGTAATTACGCAGAAGGAAGGAAGATGGTTTTATTCCCCCAAGATGTAAAAGCAGGACCAATGTTTGATCAAGACAGCTTATAATCTTCTAAAAAAATGTTTTGAAGTGTATTTTGGTAACAAAGGAATACAAATTATTACAGATACTTCGCCTGATTTTTAGATGATTTCAGCCACACATGAATTTGCATCTTTAATTGAGGCACATTCTTGATTCCATTCCACAGAACACAATAATCAGATAACCCCCCACACACCAAAAAAGTTAAAAAGAAAAAAGAAACAATCACAACTTATTTGTAGCACTGAGCAATTAAGAGAAGGGAAACCACACAAGACATCATATTTACTAAAAGCACTGAACAATGTTGAACCGCTCACCCATGAGTCTCAAAGAAACAGGAAATTCGGCCTTCAGCAGCTTTGAAGCATGTTTCAAGATTTCTTCACTTGAGCATATGTAACTAGGCAAAGTCACCGCTCGAGTTCGAACCTGGAGACTTCGAATATATCAGCTAATTTTAAATAAAAATAACCTGAATTTATGTAATAGAAGTCACTAAAGCAAAATGTTGGAAGTACCTCAAAGGATATGGTTTTCAGTTTTAGCGTCAATGTTCGCCCAAAAAGACCCTCCTTTATCATATCAGCAGAAAGCATCTCTGATAGATCAACTGCAAGCCAAAGTTGACGAAATTAACCTTGAGATCATACCAAATGATTATAAAACACATGCAAAAGTTCCGGCTGAAGAAAGATTTCTCCATGCTCAAAACCTGAGAGGGAAAAAACATATCTATAGGCCGGGCAAGCAGAAATCCCAACAGAAAGCCTAAAACCATACCTAATTTTTGAAAAAGCAAAGCTTCATCCTCAGTGGCTGAAAAAGTTCTTTCATTACTTATACTCTTTCGCATCTTATATTGAGGAGTATCAGTTCCGCCAAGCCCTAGACCGACGGAAAGGAAAAAGTCTGCAACAAAGAGGCAAATGAAATGTTGTCAATATACAGAAGAACCCATCATAAACAGTACGAACGGCAAAATTAGGAAACAAGCAGTGACCACGCCAGTTAATCAACTTTGAAAAAGACCTCTCAAACACAACAGAATATCAAAGTATACAGCTCAAATCGAGCTTGAAATTTCTATGAAATAGTTCTAGGTTGTATTTTTGTCAGATTAAGAGGAAATGGAAGATATGGATTATATCATTAACAAACCTGCTGAAGAACGAGAAAACAGGGCACAAATGAAACTACTCTTTTGCAGCATATCCTCACAGGTTGTTATTCCAAAGACATCATTTAAAATGCGTTCGGTGACCTTACCGATGCCCCCGATCTGTACATAGTTTCCTGAATGTCAGATTATAATTCTACATCCGAAAATGTAAAAGCAGCACTGAACTGCCTAATTGGAATAAGATACTTCACAAACCAAAGAGCCTAAACACAGCTACTCTCAATACCTTCCTTATTGGAAGTGAAGAAATAAATGTCATGATAGCACTTCGATCATTTGGCAAAACAAACTGGCCATTAGGTTTGTTGATATCCGAACAAACCTGTGAGAAGGAATAGAGAAGCTATTATTCGGCAATCCGCATCTTCATTTTGATACAAAAGTACGAATAGGTGGACTGTGCCTAATTAGTTGAAATTTCAATCTATCGTTTCTCATAGTTTTCGAAAATTATAATGCAATTTTTTCCTAGTCTGTGTGAGGCATACCCAGACATACTAGTTTGGATGATGCCCATAGCTTGAATGCAGAAACTAATGCATCCTGTAGATGCCTCAAGAATGGTCTATGTCGAAACGCATATTCATTTCATAAAAGGACAGAAACTAAAATAAAATAATTCATTTCCAATACCTTAGCAAGTAAGCGGTTTGGTGCCACTCCAGCGCTACACGCGAGACCTGTCTCAAGGTGTACACTTTGTCTGAGCTCTTCAGCCACCTTAAAGGAGTGGAACAACCAAAAAAAGGAGGATCAACAAGACTACCGACAAACAAAGTCAAGGGCAAGGTAAAGCAGGGACACATAAGATAGGGAGGAAATTCTAATGGAAATAGATAAAGATGGGACAAAATCTACTGTAGACTAACTTCTCCACCCGTAATGCCTCTCTCTTCGCAAACAGTAGTAATATCAAGGTATGCCTCATCCAAGCTAGCAGCC